TACTTTCTTGCTTAGGAAATTTATTGGCATGCAGGCTCTAAATTTAGAAAATGAACATTAAGATATAAAACCGAAATTCAGCTATGAAAGGAAAATTTGTTGCTAATATTTGAGGCCAGTTGCATAGTATTATCTATGTTCAAGACAATGTCAGATGTTATTATTTGATAACTTTGTTCATTCATAATAAAATCATTCAGATATTATATTTATGGACTGCCTGTACAAAGTGCTGCAAGGTGAGAGGTGGTTATCCTTCCTTCTAGTTATTCCTATAATTAATTGGGTATATCTAAATTCTAAAAATGGGGAAGGTCATTCAAATTTACTTACATTACACTTACCTACAATATATTTATAGTATTAGAGAGTAAACATATCTTTTTTATTTTATTTTTTAAAAAATGTTATTTTAAAGAGAGTAATAAATGAGAAAAAAAGAACAATAGCAGCATACCAGCATAACAAACATGAATAGCTGTGATAACTGTATTGCTGATGTCTGATGGTATATTAAAAGGAACAGTTAATGTTTAAAACTTTTTATGTTCTGACCAATTTTGCATGCTTATATCTGGTAATCTGAGCAACTGATTTGAAGGCAACAATATGCAATGGAACTACCACGGTGAATTCCTACCATCTTGTCTAATGAAACTCTGTATTATCTCTAATGTTTTATCTAATAATTATTTTCTTATTCTCTTTAATGGTCTGAACAATCTTGCATTCTTACATGTGGTAATCTGAGCAAGGTAGTTGAAGATAACATATCTTTTTTAATAGCAACTTTTCTTTTTTTTTGTTTTTTTTTTTTGTTTTTTTTTTCTCCGGTACCGGGAACCGAACTCACGACCTTGCGCTTGCCAGGCAGGCGCTTTGCCGCTGAGCTAAATCCCCAGCCCCAGTAGCAACTTTTCAAAAACATCATTGGACAGGGCTTATGAAGGCACAGTTTTGATAAGCATGTACTTAGAGGTACACAGATAAACAGACACTGCTCTCTGAAGAGCTATTTCAGTAAAACTGAATCTATGTGATTTTGTACTTAAATGTCATAGTAGTGACAGTGTCATAATAGTGACAGCTCTACTGCTTAATCAATCCTTGGAGTACATGTTTTAACAGGTGCACGGGTTAGGTAGGCTCCAATAGAGGCATTTCTCTATCTACTTAGTTTGCAGTATATTGTGTTAGTCCATTTTTAGGGGTTGTTTTGGCAGTACTTCCTGGATATTCTGTAGTAACTTCAAGATATTGTTAAATATTTGAAGATTAAATACTCAAAGAAATACTTGAGGAGTAAGTATACTTATCTCTTCAAATATGTAATACTAATTTTGTTTCAGTGCAGGAAAGTTAGTGACATACCTAAAAACATTCATGGACATTTTCATTAAAATTTAGACAATATTAGATTTTGTATTTTTTCTCTACTTATCTGCTCAGTTCCATACACTGTAATTCTATGGTCATGATATAAAATGTCACTTAATCAGATAGAGTTTTAGAAGTAGTGGAAGAACATTAAACTTGAAGATGGCACTGAAATTGATGATACTTCTTTGTGTACTGGAATTTTATCTTTACTATTACTTCTTTTACATATAAAGCTAAAGAATGAAATCAGTGTGAGAAAATGTGTAAACTCTCTAGATCATATTTGAAAGCTATACTATTTCAGTGAACATTTCCTAAATGTTTTATAATTCCTAAAGATATTCTTAATATTGGATATTTACTTTTCAGTAGATTTGTCATGTTCACATGTAAAATGTACTCAGTAGTCATAAATGAGAATGACTACATGATTTATACATGTTCACTCACTGGGAAGACAGTCTTCTTTTAAAATCAGAAATTTTACAGGTTTATTTATAGAAGTTGTTCTGGGTCCACCCTAACATACTAAAATGGCTTACTGAAGTGCCAGAAGCATAGAATTTTATTTTAAATTACTTATTGTTTCTGTTCATTTCCATTTTTGCCCTGTAGCATTGGCTGACATTTCATAGAGACTGAGTTGGCATAGGGCTGGAAAATATGTAATTATAAGAATCACCTGTTTTTGAATTTCCCATTACATGTTAACCATGACTCAAGCAGACTTTTTATAGGTGTTTGATTTAGAATGAGAACTTTTCTTCTTTCGTGACCTGTGATTAAAATGTGGCATTTTGGTACAGAAATATGAGAAAGATTCCACATAATCTAGATGTGAATCAGAGTTGGTGAAGCAATGTAAGTCTTTGACCTATATCATATAAGCAGTAGCATATATAATTGGAAATATCATTTAAGATTAAATGAAATACACTTCAAAAATACTCTGTAGTTTAAAGCAGGCTAAATGTGAAAATGCAGCAAGATACACATTAAGAGAGATCTTGGGCCAGGGATATAGCTAGGCAGCATGGTGACTGCCCACCCTGAGTTTGATTCCCAGTTCAAACAAACGAACAAACAACAAACAAACAAACAAACAAACAAACAAAAAACCCCCAAAACAAGAGATCTTGCTTCACTTAATGCTTCTCAGGGGAATTCCAATAAAGAAATCCACTACAACTGCACTGGAATATTTTCTTTCGTTTTAATGTGTTAGCACCATGACTGTACATATTTACCATTTGCTGTGTTGTTGTAGCTCGGTGATACAGGCAGAGGAGAGACTATATTTCTTCATAACTGAGAATGAAACTTAGTGTCACAATACTGCTTGATCAGTAGTTTACCTGTTGCCCTAGTCTTTTATGAATCTCTATGGTTAAAGTTATACTTTTCAATTAATTGTCTGTGGAATTATACACCTAGTTATTGCTGATAGTTTGTGGAGGTTCTTTTTGGATACTGCAGTAATGAACACGTTTTTCCTATATATAGTTTAGTTTTTGTATGAATGTCTATCTGTAAAGATATTGTGTATATAGCATGCAGTTTTTCTCTATACTATAAATATATTATTCTAAAGTCATGCATGCTATTGTTTTATAATAAGATGGCGTGTGCTAAGTAAAACACTTTACTGTCACTCGAGAGATCAAAAACAATAGCTTCCTATAAAGGCTTTATTATTTTGTATATCTATAGCATTAATTTAGTTGATGTTTGAATGACTGGATGACAGCCTAGTTGTCATCTTCTACTTTAAATATTCAAGTGTCTTATATTGATTTAGCAAAAGTATTTAAAATTATTTATATGAACCTATATATTCTAAAATATTTAGATTTTAAAGCATCATCAGTAGTGCATTCTTCCAAGTATGTAGTTTTGAATCTCAAGATGTTTGGAGCATTAATTTTGCATTACCATCTTCATATTTACTCTATTTGATTATTTATACTTATTGTCAATGTTTTGTTTCCAGTTTATATTTTCTTTCCCTACACACTGTCTCTAGAATACTTAATTTAATTTGTTTAATGACCACTCTTCTAATTGTATTCTGCATCCTCTACAGGGTAGATAAGTCTCCTTCTGATGTCTTCTCTCCCCTTGAAACATGTGATTTGTTATACTACTAACACTGTCTCAAAACACAAGACACTCAATGAAATGGCAAGAAGAAGAACTCCTGGTTTTGTTCTATGAAGTAGTAAAAGTTAGATTCTATTTACTTGATTTTCTTCCTTTTTGATTCTTTTCCTCCTTCCTTTCCTATATGTAGCTCATAATTTTAGTCTTCAGTTAGTTTTCTCTTTCCATATCTTTCACTTAAAAAAATTTGACCATTGTCTCTGTGTGATTAACTGCATTCTTTTCTCCAAACAAATATTTTTGCTGAGCTTTTCAGTCTCTGACTGTCTTCTGGATACATCTTCTGGGGCACCATGCAATCATTTCCAACAGAACCTCTTCATGTCCAAACTCATGATATTCTTTAAAATGATATCTTTATGTGGTTCCTTATTTTTGTGAAAGTATTACTGTTTTCAGAGGCATCATTCATTTTTGTTTTTATCCAGTCACTATTCACACTAATTGGTCATTATACCTCTTAGGAAGTTTTGAATTGTTCTATCTCCTTATTCATGTTCATAAATACCTTGTTAGTATTCCTAAATCTAGCCACTTTCAAGTCATCTCATCCTATAAAGTACTGCCAGATTTTACTTCATAAACTGTCGTTTATCTTTCTTTCTTTTTTTTTTTTTTTTTTTTTTTGGTACTGGGAATCGAACTCAGGACCTTGCTCTTGACAGGCAGGTGCTTATGCCACCGAGCTGTATCCCCGGCCCTGTCATTTTTCTTATGAACCTTTTTTACTGTAAAAGTTTTTTCAGTCTTCTCACTGTCTATAGAAGTGGTTCTCAAATTTTTAAAAATCTTACATGGGTTCCAAAATGTAAAACATTAACATTAGAGCTATTTGAATGAAAGTATTCAAACTTCTTGACTTGGGACTTACCTGCAAAATATTCTGTGGTCATTACCACATGCATTATAGCGTACAGTTTGAAACTCATTGGTTTAAGAAATAAAATTTAAGAAATAAAATCCTAAAAATAGGATTTAGTCCTATTTCACTCAAACAGTGCTTACTATACCCAGCTGTTTTAGATAAGTTTCATTTTTGTGCTTGATATCTATGATACTTGGCACTCAGAATGCTGTTAAATCTCCATTTTGCTTTAAAAATACTGTTCCTATTTCTTAAAAGCAGCTCAAGAACTACCTTCTCACTGACATGTGAAGGGATATTTGGGAACTGAACAAGTTAGGTATCTTTTTCCATGATGTATGTATTTTGAGAAAGTATGGTTTTTTTTTCCTCCTTCCCCATTTTTGGAAATTACAGCTGTAATGCATTTAATTATTAAGAAAATTGATGTTTCCATTTTATGCCTAAAGTGAGCGATTTTAAGCATTCAGTAAAAATGGACCCAAGGTTATTGCTTGTATTATATATTGAGCATGAACCTGATGATATCTATGTGAGGAAAATCAATAACTTTGAAACATACGTTGTTATAATGCTTATATTTCTTTTCTCTTAGGGCCTGCAGCATACAATCCTGTTTTCAAGAAATCTTGCCCCATACCTTCATTTTTTAAAGCATCGAAGCATTTTGAAGATTCTGATGAGGTTACTCCTGGCCCAACAACATATGAGGTTTGTGAGTAGTTCCGCTCTTACAGTGACACAAAAACGGGATGGTTTTAACAAAATATTGACGATATATCTGTGAAGTTATTTTTGTATATTTTTTCAGTAATCAAAATCTTTACTTAATACATTTTGAGGATATATTTTGACATCTTAAAAATAATTATTTGGTAATTGCTTAGTTTTAATAACCTATTTATGTATACCTGTCCTCTATAGCATTTGTGTATATAATTTATTTACATTCCAGCAAATCTTAAAACTTACTTGTTTAGGATGTTAAAATCTTCTACTATTTATTAAAATAGCGAGCTTATTAGAGGACTCAGAAGAAAGCCCTGTGGACTCAACACAATTGGGTGTTGATGTTTTATTTTAGTAGATATAGATATTGTAGTTTAGATTCATAATAAATGGGGGCTTCTTAAGCTATGGGCTTTCTAATTGTAAGAAGGTGGTCTATATAAACCTGCAGGAGTTTAGAGACTGTGTTTCCAATAGGTTTTTGTTTTTCTTTTGAGAGTTAGGATGAAATAGGTGTCTCATTTTTACAATACAAACTCTTGAAAATGAAATATCTTTTGCACAATATCTATAGCCTTTATTAATAGGGTGCAGCTATCAGACCAACATCCAGCCATCAGCATACAACCTTTTTCCCCACATAAAACCATTAAGAATACATTTAATTTTAAATACCACACTGAGACAATATACCAAAATTACAGTACTAAAGTTTTAATTTCATACTTTGAATATCAAAAAAGCAATGATTTGTACAACAATGAAAATATGATGAGTTAATTACACAGAAATCAATAGCTATATAGGCCATTTCATTCTTAATATCATACAGTAAAAACACATGTACTTAAAATTTCAGCCTACAGATAGCACACTTCACAAGGTTATTATTCACTTCAAATTGTACAAATGTTTACAAAGAACATTTAACTTAAAATTCACATTTTAAAATTCACATTGCTTACAAATTATGCTTGTAAGATTAACCTATCTAGGTGAGGCATTATGGCGCACACCTGTAATCCCAGTACTCAAGAGGCTGAGTCAGGAGGGTCACTGTGAGTTCAAGGCCAGCCTGGGCTACATAGTGAGTTCAAGGTCACCCTGAACTACACAGTGAAACCCTGTCTCAAAAAATCCGAAAAAATTTGTCTATATAAAGAAGTGAATATCTTGCCAAAGGGTTGGTAAACTATAAATACAAAATATGCCACAATGTTAAAAACCTTACGGTAATGTATAGGAAAATCAATAAAGACAAGTCAATCTTTCTGGGGGAAATACTTAGCACTATAAATTTAAAGTGTAATAATAGAGTCAAGGAAACAGAGAAGAAAAAAGCTGGCAAGCTGGATAGAGGTGCAGCTTCAAGATTTTTGAAAAATGCCCTCTGGGACACAAAACCTAAATACACCATGAAAGTTGCCAATAAAGGAAAAAGTAAAAGTTAGCTTCTGGCCTTGATGCACACACACTCAAAAAGACATCATTTTTATTGTTTTCACAACATAGATGATTATGTGGCAATCAGAGGTTTAAATTTATTCTTTTTTGAAATGAAATATTTTAGAGCAGTTTATAGCAATTGATTTAAGAGATAACTCTGAGTATAAAATAAAATGTATATTCTTTGTGGGATTAGGTAATGATACACTTATTTTTATGAAATGTATATTTTATACTTATTTAACACATCATAATCTAAAAATTTTCCAACATTCTGTCAAGGGCAAATTTAAAATATATCAGAAAATAGAAGATAAAATAATGAATAATCTAAAAGTTGATATTTGTTGGCTATTAATTCCTCCAGATGACAACTAATGCGTGCTGATTAAGCAAAAGTAATTTTACTAGAGGTCACTTCAGAGCAGGAGACCCTGCTCAAATCTCACTGCTGTTTAGGAAGGTAGGCATCAAGGAAGATAATTTAGAAGGCTTTAGGAACTGGGCTGAGTGATTGAAGGCACATCCTGCATTAGGGAACTGACTGGGACCAAACAAAGTTTATAGCATGTTTATTTTGATCTTTGTTTTGTTTTATGTTATTGGTGTGTGTTCATAATACATGAAAGTTATCTTTGTTCTGGGAGTTGGTGCATGTATATAACGTATCTTGATTGTTTTCGACTCCTTTGTCTCTTTCCCTAACCTATGCTGACTCCACCTCCAAAAGTCTTCTTTGATTCCTACCCCCTCTCCTTTGCTTTACTCTGTGATTTATTTATACAGTGAACCCTCACCTATCACAGGAGTCACATTCCAGAGACCCCCACGATAGTTGAAAATCCGTGAAGTAGCAGTGTTATATTTATTTTATTATTTGTATATATTTTAAGGCTTTATAAATCCTTCCCACTCCTTTCCCACTCTCTTATTAACCTTTCCCACACTCTTATAAATACTTCATAAGCTCTTAAACACTTTCTACACTCTTAAACCTATGTAATTTTAACAACATGTAAAATGCTATGTGGGTACTCAATGTGAAGTGGACAAGAAGAGATGCTGAACATATGGGCACACTGCCGGAGAGCAAATAGACCGATGCTTGGTCACTGAGCCAATCAGCGCCTGGGATGTGGTTTGTCACCTTCCATTCCATCAGCCAATAGTGTGCTGTGTACAATCTCACGCTGGCAGATGTGCTCAAGCTGTAGTGGCATACTGCATTTCCACCGTGTACAGTATGGTATTAATCCACTCATGAAATATATGATTTTATTTTGATTTAATATTCTTTTAATATGTTTGAATAACAGTTTTAATGTTTTTATATTGTTTTAAATTTTTAGACAAAAATAATTAAAATCATTAATATTATATAAATACCTATATACTACAAAATCCCACAGTATGGAGAAAACTCTGTGATACAGAATTAGACATATTATAAAAAATCCATGATACAGTGAAGGCACAATAAGTGAACTACTATATAGTGAGGGACAACAGTATCTAGCTTTTCTTTTTCTCTATATAAAATCATGGCATCTTCCAACAGGAATAATTTGGCTTTCTACTTTCCTATTTGGATGACTTTTTATTTTCGTGCACCATAATTCTTCTGGTTAGCAGTACTATTCCAGTACTATTTTGATTAGATGTGGTAAAAGTACATATCCTTGTAGTGTTTTAGATCTTAGAGGAAATGATTTCAACTTTCCCACATTTATAATGATGTTGATTTTGGGTTTGTCATAAGTAATCTTTATTGTGGTGAGGTATTTTTCATCCAAACCTAATTGTTTGAAGATATTTTATGATGGGAATTTTAATTTTATCACATGCTTCTTCTTAGAGATAATCATATAGTTATAGATAATGTTGAGATAATCATACAGTTTTATACTTCATTCTGTTTGTGTGACTTATGATGTTTGCAATTTGGTAAGTTGGATGTTGAACTATCCCTGCATTCCTGGGATAAATCCATCTGGATCATGGTATATAATCTCTTTGGCTGATGCATTTTGTTTGTTTCTGTTTTGACAAGCATTTTTGCATCTATATTAATCAGGAATATAGGTCTATAGTTTTTGTGTCATGTCCATGTTTCATTTTTGATCAAGCTAGCTTTATAAAATGAATTTTCAAAAGTTCCTTTAGTGTCAGTTGTTTAGAAGGAGGTTGAGAATATTTGTTGCATTTCTCTTTAAAATTTTAGGAGTCTATCCTTACCACCAGGAAAAAAAAATTGGTAAAATTCTGCTGTAAAGCCATCTGGTTGGCTTTTCTTTGTTGGGAGATGTTATACTGGTAAAATATTATTACTTATCACTAGTCTGTTTCAGGTGTTGTCTTCATGGTACAATTTTGGTAAGTTGTATGCACTCACAAATTTACCCGTTTCTTCCAGATTTGCTTATTTGTTGGCGTGTAGTTGTTTAAAGTAGTCTCTAATGATCCTGTGTACTTCTGTGGTAACAGTTGTAATGCCTTACCTTTCACCTATGATTTGAATTATTTGGATTCTCTCTCTTGTCTAGGTAAAGATCTGTTGAATTTTATCTTTTCAATAAAATAATTCTTCATTTTTTTCATCTTTTGTAGTTTTTAAAGTATTTGATTGATTTGTACTCTGATCTTTATTGTTTCTGTCATTCTACTAACTATTTGGGTGGTTTATTCTTGCTTTTCAAATTCCTTTCATTGGATCAAGGTTGCTTATTTGAGATCTTTTAGTGTTTATGTGGGCATTTATTGCTATAAATTTTCCTCTTAGTGTATTTTGCTCTATTCCATACTTTTTGGTACATTATGTTTCCATTTTCATTCATTTCCAGAAACTATTCATTTCCCCTTTTGATTTCTTCATTGGTGTATTGTTTAAGAAAATAATTAATTTCCATGTATTTGCATAGTTTCTGAAATTCCTCTTATTTCTTTCTAATTTACTCCAGTGTGATCAGCAAAAGTATTTGATATGATTCTCTAAATTTGATGATTCTTTAAACTTATTGAGATTTGTTTATAGCCTAACAGATAGCCTATCCTGGAGAATATTCTATGTATTTATGACAGCAAAGTGTTTTCTGTACGTCTGGGATAAAATGTCATAAATATCTGTTAGGTGCATTTTGTCTATAATATAGTTTAAGTGCAATTCTTTCTTGATTATTTTGACTGATCCATTGATGAAAGAGAAGTTGAGATCCTCAACTACTGTGTTGGAGTGTATCTGTAATGTATGCTGTAGATAATTGAGTATTCTGGTATTGGGTGCATATATATTTGTAATTGTTATTTTTCTTAATGGCTTGATTCCTTTACAATTATATAACCTATTTGTCTCTTCATAAAGGTGTTTTATTTAGAATCTATTTTAGCTGATATAAATACAGCTAGTCCTGCTCATTTTTGACTTCCATTTGCAAGAAATATATGTTTTTGTGCCCTCACTGTCTACGGGGGTCTTTACTGGTGAATTATTAGTCAACTTTCACATTGTTGGGACACAATTACTAGCATCCACAAATCAA